AGCGCGCGGGCGTTAGTGCGACAGAGGGGACGCCGCGAGCGCGCGGGCGTTAGTGCGACAGAGGGGATGCCACGAGCGCGCGGGCGTTAGTGCGACAGAGGGGACGCCGCGAGCGCGCGGGCGTTAGTGCGACAGAGGGGATGCCGCGAGCGCACGGGCGTTAGTGCGACAGAGGGGACGCGCGAGCGCACGGGCGTTGGTGCGACAGAGGGGACGCGCGAGCGCACGGGCGTTAGTGCGACAGAGGAGACGCGCGAGCGCACGGGCGTTAGTGCGACAGAGGGGACGCGCGAGCGCGCGGGCGTTAGTGCGACAGAGGGGACGAGCGAGCGCACGGGCGTTAGTGCGACAGAGGGGACGAGCGAGCGCGCGGGCATTAGTGCGACAGAGAGGACGCCGCGAGCGCGCGGGCGTTAGTGCGACAGAGGGCGCGGCAAGCGCGGGGTAGGAGGGGGTAAGGGGCGGCCGCACCGATGATTCACAGGTCAAACTCCATTGCCCCGGAATTTATGTAGATATATACAAGGAGCTTTGCCTTGAGTGCGGTGTTGCAGATTTTACACGTGCGCATGCAATAATGTCAATTGTACGTACGGTACTTTATCACTAAGCACCACTTTTAGAACACGTATCCCATCCGACGTACTACGATTCGCCAGAGCTGCCGGTCAATCACGCGCGGTGGAGACAATATAGATCGGGTCGATTAGATTCGGGAAGAAAGTTAGAATGCTGAGGCCACCGGTCGCACATACCTTGCCGACGTGTTCTCGATGACCTCAAACGTCTTAGCGAGAGCGAGGTACGGCACGTGTTCGCCACGCCGCCAGAACGCGTCCGCCACCGGGTCGTAGCCACGCTTCCCCGGGGCATAGGTGGCGCCCTCGTCCTCCTCGCCCGCCTTCTTGCCGCCGCCCATCATCGACGCGAACGGGCTGCAACCAATCGCGACGCACGATGCAAGTCAACGCGACCAATCAACTCATTTGAAACAAGGAATGACCGCCTTTAGATGTGGCCAGAGTTAAAAAACAACCTCAATCTGTATAAACCAGCAGGTGTTACCTGGACCAAAGCAGAACAGTTACCGAGACCCTACATACTCAATGAAGAGTCATAAGCAAAAAATAATACATCTATGAATATTTTTATAAAATAGTGTACTGCTAGCACTGACATAAGGCTACAATGCAGATGGTTAAACCGGTTATTAAAGTTGTTTGTTTTTATGTTGACACACACACACACTTGTATTAGGCAGGTTTAGCTGTACCACAGAGCAACTAGCACTTACTTAACAGCAGCTTTCTTCTGAGCAGACGACTTTGACTCCCCTGCATTGTTCTCTCCCTTCTCCGCTTTCTCTCCCTTCTCCACCTCCTTCTCCGCTTTCTCTGCCTTCTCCACCTCCTTCTCCGCTTTCTCTCCCTTCTCCACCTCCTTCTCCGCTTTCTCTTCCTTCTTATTCGACTTCGGTTTCCACGCCCTTTTTTCCAGCTTGAGGCGAGGTTTGCCGTTTCACAGACGATTCTTTGGCTGTCTTTTCATTAGCCTTGTTTTCTGCTGTTAACAATCAGTTACAATACTTCAAAACAATAATACTTCCAAAAACACCTAACTGGCAGAAAAATCAATCGCCGAAGTATGCACTGCAGTTGCAAAAACAAGCTAAACTAAATGAATGAACTAGTTGTGAATGAGCTTTGATCTGATAATTAGAAAGTTGTAGTACAACAGCTAAAACACACTAGAGAGACAGCAGTTACCTTTTGTACGGGAGCCCGAGAAAAAACTATGGAGCGTTCGCACAGGAGCGGCTTCCTTCTTGTTCCTCGCCTCCTCTTCCTCTTCCTCACTGCTTTCTTCGACTGGAGTAGGCTTCCTCCTGTGGTGCACCTTCTTCTTTTTTTCTGCTTCCTCTTCCTCACTGCTTTCTTCAACCACTGCTGGCTTCTTTCTGTGTTGCACCTTCTTCTTTATTTTCTCTTCCTCTTCCTCGCTGCTCTCTTCAACTACTGCTGGCTTCTTTCTGTGTTGCACCTTCTTCTCCTTTTTCTTGTCCTTTTCCTCACTGCTTTCTTCAGCCACTGCTGGCTTCTTTCTGTGTTGCACCTTCTTCTCCTTTTTCTCTTCCTCTTCCTCACTGCTTTCTTCAACTACTGCTGGCTTCTTTCTGTGTTGCACCTTCTTCTCCTTTTTCTCGTCCTCTTCCTCACTGCTTTCTTCAACTACTGCTGGCTTCTTTCTGTGTTGCACCTTCTTCTCCTTTTTCTCGTCCTCTTCCTCACTGCTTTCTTCAATTGCACTTGGCTTCTTCCGAGGTCGCACCTCATCTTTCTCTTCCCCCTTTTCTTCTTCTTCTTCTTCTTCCTCTTCCCCCTTTTCTTCTTCTTCTTCTTCTTCCTCTTCCCCCTTTTCTTCTTCTTCGTCTTCTTCTTCTTCTTCCTCTTCACTGCCTTCTTCCATTGCATCTGGCTCATTTTTGTGTCGCACCTCTTTCTTCACTACCTCCTCCTCCTTCTCTTTCTTCATGGCTTCTTCGGTCGTAGCTACCTCGCTCTTTCCTGTATCCACATCCATGTCTTCCTCATCTTCCCCATCTACATCATCTGTTAGAAACGTATATTAATTAACATCCGCAATGATTATCTCTTAGTTACAACACTGAACAGACAAATTACTTCTCGACTAAAAAAACATTTCTCTACCCAGCTATACTGACGACAACCATAATGATAATAATGTTGACATTAAAAAGACTATGAACATAACCATCTAACCAACTGAAATCGTGCTAATAATTTATGAATTATTTAATTAATTAGGATGATGAATCACAAATATGTTGATGACTATGTTGACAATGACAACGATGCTGCTTACATTAATAAAAGTAAAGTTGATGAAAGCAAATGAAAGTGTGATGACGATAGTTGACTACGACTACATTCACGGCGCCAGTCAATATACAATGCAAATCCTCGCGAAAACTTTCAGAAATTCAGAAAAACAAACTGCAGACGTTGCGCTGCCAGACAGCTGTGAACCCGCATGTGGTGATCCACTGTCTAGACATGCGAGAAAAAATACATCCAGACCATCCAAAAAATTTAATCCAGAAACTGGATCAAGGCTAGCCGACGACTCTTTTTCATTTTTCTAGATGCCCGCTCGTGTCCGCCGTGGCCGCCACGTTGTCATGACTACGATGGCTGGCAGACACGGAAGCTGTTACGTTACCTTGGCGACGAGCTGAGCCGACCCTGCCGTCAACGTCGGGGGATTGAGGGTGGCTCCCTCCATCATCTCCCGACTCGCGCGGTTTCCGGCGACTCGCAAAGCTCTTCCTCGCTGCAAACAAGAGAGCATTCAACCCCGATAAGGAGCGGGCCCTAAAAACATCAACCCCACAATCCTCGCCCGTAAATCACCGCGGCGACAGAAAGCGCTTGCAGCGCCCCCTGCATCGCGATTCTCCGCCGCCGCCGCTGCAGACGACGACGCAACCCCCGTCGCGTGACGCTAGTGTTGTCAATCGATTGTAATTTCGTAATCGATCATCGGTTGGACCCAAGTAACCGAAGATCAGTTACAATCGGTTACTCGGGGTGTTGAATGCCTACGTGTGCGTAACGCCGTGTGCATGCACGTGTGTGCATGTATGTGCTTGTTTAGCCCTGTTTACTGTTTGTTTTGCACTGTTTACTACTGTGTGTATAATACATGTATGTTAATAAAGGATAACTTGTATAGTAGCGATGATATCTCTGATTCTCATCACTACATTTTCGATTTTTTTTTTTTTTCTCGATGAAATTGATTATGGATTTTGATAACCAAGCGCTTGGTTCGACCCACTGTTCAACCGATGATTGAGTATAATCGATAATCGTGACATCACTACGTGACGCGGCTCCCGATCGGCATCCAACTCACCAGGATGTGGATCGCCGCGGCGGCAGCGGCGGTGCGGGGGGACAAACAGTTCTGCGAAATGTGATGATTGCTAGGTGTGCGGGCGTGATGAGGTCGATGCCCCGGGGGGGCCGCGGACGTTCCAGCGTCGCAGCGCGTCGTAAACAACAGGATGCGCAGCCGCGCCGGCGGCGTGTTCGGAGCGATTAACTACAGGAAGGCGAGTGAAAGCAAGAAAAAAAGAGAAAGAGAAGAGAGCAACAGAGGAGGGAGAGGCACGGAGAGAAAGAGAGAAAGAGAGAGAAAAAGAGGAAGGACGGAGAGACAGAGGACAGAGAAGAGAGAGGGGGAGAGAGAGAGGGAGGAGAGAGAAGGAGGAGAGACAGAGGGAGACAGAGAGAAAGAAAGAAAGGAAAAAAGAGAGAAAGAAAGTGAAAAGAAAGAGAGGAGAGAGCGAGAGAGAGAAGAAGCAGGAGGAGGGCAGAGGGAGGGAGGGAGAGAGGAGGGAGGGTGAGAGAGGGGAGCGGAGAGAAGGAGTGAGGAGAGAGGGAGAGAGGGAGGGAGCGGGAGATGGGAGGGAGGAGGAGGGAGGAGTGAGAGAGGGAGAGAGGGATGAAGGGGAGAGCGAGGGAGAGGTGCGGAGAGAGGCGGAGAGAGTGAAGAGGAGAAAAGACGAAAGAGAGAGAGAGGAGCAGAGAGAGAGAGAGAGAGAGAGAGAGATGAGAGAGGAGACGAGAGAGAGAGAGAGAGAGAGACGAGAGAGAGTAGAGAGAGAGAGCGAGGAGGAGAGAAAGAGAGGAGAGAGAGAGGACATGAGAGAAGGAGAAGGGAACAGAATGAGAGAGAGAGATGATGAGAGAGAGATGAGAGGAGAGAGGAGAGAGAAGAAGATGAGATGAGGAGAGAGAGAGAGAGAGACAACGCAGCGCACGCACGCTACGCACGCACGCACGCACGCACGCACGCACGCACGCACCAACGCACGCACGCACACCACACACACACACACACACACACACACAGGAGACAGAGATAGAGAGGGAAGGTAGAGACACACATTTTCACGCGTTCATCTGTGATTAATAGCCAGCAATACGCCAGTCCCTCCCTCCCCCCCAAGAAACAATTTGTAGCGGTAGGCATGCGGGCGGAGCGCGTGACAGCTGCAGCCAGCATGGTGGCTCTACTTAATCACGCGCATCATTTAACGACACACCTGACACACTTTCCCGCAGCCCGGTTCCGCCCTGGAGGGCCGCTGCGTCTACAAATACACTCGCTGCGGCGTTACAGGTAAACAAGCGAGCTGACAGCAGCGTGGCAAGCACAGGTAAACAAGCAGCGCAGGCATATACGACTGACAACACTCTCCACTCGAGCAACGACGCACGCACACTCGACGGTGCAATCAACTCGCCCCCTAGTAGTAGGACCGACTCGTAAGCTCTTCCTTCCTCGACATCCGTACGACCCCGGGAGCGTGAGCAGACGACACGAGACAGCGGCGCCATCACGATCATGAGACTGCTCGCGTACACGGCGGCGGCGTTGTTTATCGTCGCGGCGACGATGACGACGATGCGCGTGTCGGCTAAAGGTGAGTGAACGATTCTCTGGAGTCTTCCCCGAAGCGAAGGATTCTCAAGGTCGCACACCGACCTAACTCGTTCTACTCCGAACGCAAACATAATTTTTTTTAGAATCGCGGATTGTCGACACCCAGGCGTCGGTCGTCGTGGCGACGTGCCAACTCGATGTCGCACCGCCGCGTGTTCTAACGAGAGTAGAACGACGCAGCAATCACGCGCTCATCTCATATGCAGATTTAATTAGAACTGTGTTCGTTTACGCGAAGCTCTACGACGTCGCAGTTTCCGTGAAATTCGTTAGCCGGGTCGTTAGCTTTTGATTAATTTCTTTTAAGTTTCTGATGTTTACAAGTTTTCTTTCGTAAGTAGATTCTTGCCCACGGCGCTAGCAAGTATGCGCGACCTATGCCATTGGCACAGACGCAGACATGCGACACAGTTATCCTTTATGATCGTTAAATAACTTTCAACACTAACTTTATAGCCCGATGGCATTGAGTGATGAGCTCGTAGAACCTACATGAGGCTGTACAGGGACATGTATGTGTCACGTAGAAACATATATCATATGTCTCTCATGCTCACTCGCTCACTCACTCTCTCATTCATTCAGTCAGTCACTCACTCATTCGCTCACTCCCTCACTAATTCAGTCACTCACTCGCTCACTCTTTCATTCATTCAGTCACTCACTCACTCACTCTCTCACTCATTCACTCACTCACTCACTCACTCACTCACTAATTCAGTCACTCACTCTCTCACTCATTCAGTCAGTCACTCACTCTCTTACTCACTCACTCACTCACTCACTCATTCAGTCACTCTCTCATTCATTTAGTCACTCACTCACTCACTCACTATCTCTCGCATCCTGTAGCCGGTGACACTAGCAGCCATTCTCCTAGGTTTGATTCCCCCTCTCTCTATCGCATGTTTTACCCCACACTAGCCGTGCCACTAGCAGTCATTCTCCCAAGTTTAACCCCCAGCTCTCGCTCTCTGTGTCGCATGTTCCACCCCACCGCGATACTAGCAGCGGTTGACCACCACACTGTCTCTCTCCCAAGTTTTACCCCCGCCTAACTGCCACGACACTAGGCACCATTCTACTGTTGTTGTTGACCCTCGCTCTCTCTCTCACCAGAGATGCCAACACATATTTGAAGCAATCTGTAGTTTCTGGCCAATCAAATTAGTAGTTCGAGGGTCACGTAGTGACCAGAGTTTGCTAGGGGGGTCCGGCATGCCCCCTGGAAAAATTTTTGATTCTGAGATGCAATTTCCTGCATTCTGAGGGTCAAAAATGACAATAAATTGACAAAACATGACAATAATAAAAAAAATTTTTTATATTTTTGATCACAGTGAAATTCGTAGTTTGATACAAACTGGTCGTAGTGGTGCAAAAGGAATAGAAATTCGTATAAAATACGGATAAATCGTAGTGGTTGGCATCTCTGTCTCACGCTTCCCTTGTTGCAGGCACCTGCATCGGCGGACAGCCGGAGGGCGATCAGTGGCCGGAGCGCTTCGGTGCTTCGTGCTTCGACTGCGAGTGCATGTCTGGAGGCAGCAGTGCAGGGAGCCAGCTGTACACCCAGTGCTTCACGTGAGGCAACATCTCCTCTCTCACTCCCACTCTGTTTTAGGCATGAGACCCTCCTCCCTCCGGGCCACTTAGTAGTTACTGTGCTATGTCCCTTGCTACTAAGTAATGTGTTTTAACCACCCCCCCTTTCCCACTAATTTAAGCATGATGCGTCACTCCATTCCTTCCCCCCCCCACCATATTCCAAACAGTTATTAAGTAGTTACAAGTGTAAAAACGTGACACCAAATCTTAATTCAAACATTTTTTTACATTGCTGTCTTTAATAATCGGAAACAGTGACCAGTGTGCGTACTGTTCTCCTAAAAAATATTTTCCAAACAAACTTCAGAAATAAATTTTCTGAGTGAGCAGCCGCTGCACAATCGAAGTTGCGATCGCTGACGTGTTTCTCTCGCCCCGCAGGACGCCCTGCGTGGACGTGCCGCAGACCTGTCCACCGATCCCAGGCGGCCACCCCGTCGGCACGGCGTGGGTCGAGGCCGAGTACGCCGGCGACCTCTGCATGCACTGCTCGTGCGAGCCTAGCACCGGACCCTCCACCTACCCGCACTCCATCTGCGCGATGTAAGTAAAGTGGCGCCCCCATTTTTTGTCACGTCGAACGACGGGCCAACCCACATGTCCGATATTGCGAGGTGATCCCCTGTGATGGCGCGCTGGGATATTCGCCGAATTGTAGATTCGTTTAATCGGAATGTCATTCTTTAGCGGTAAATTCTTTGCTATTACGTGGATTCGATATTTCACTGATGTATAACATCTTGTGCTATTACATTTAAAATACTTATTACACAATACGCGATGCAAACGGTTAAGAAAATCTGACCTGATCATTACTATTCTCTTCACTTCAGGGGTGAGTGTGCGAATCCTGGCCCACAGTAACGATACCACTGCAGAGCTTCAGTAGACACGCACTGTCCGTCGCCCATGGCAACCAGCAGACAACGTCGGGACTACCATCTTGTCGATTGCGCTTACCGAGATTTTTTTTGTCTATATTCAGAATTTATTCATATTAGTTTATAGAAAATATAGTCGGCCAAGGATTTGTAGCATTTGTTTACCCCGTGAACTATTAGAATATATGTTTATCTCACAGAACTTAAATTCTCTGAGTTTTTTGAGTCTGCATTTAAACATAGATTTGATAGATTTGTTATACATTTTGCTGGGCTTTTGTTTTGAAAATGTCTGTCAAGGTAAAACAAGGCAGACCATCGGTTTCAAATAGGATTTTTTAGTTTTAAACATTTTACGTGTATGGATTAAGACCTATAGTCTATTATAACCAGAATCATTGTATGTTGTCACTAGTCAAATTAAAAAGCAAGTGTGCTGCATTTTCTTTACTCGAAAGTCAATTATTATTTTGTAGTATTATTCAAATACTAATCTTATGATGTACAGTATATATACATAAACATCACTTCCAATAATAACCACCTATAAATCTATAATCTGTAAACATCGTATGTTCTTCTGTGTAGTTGTAAACATATATATATCAAAATACGTAAGTTCCATTTAGCAGTCCTAAACATATGTATCAAAATACTAGTAGCTACTGTATATTTGCAAATAAATAGTGAACAGTACACCTACCGGTCTTACGAAGTGGGACTCCATCTGGACTCACGAGCGGTGCAAGCGGGACCCGGGATGGTGTACCGGCAGACGAACCAGCTACGACGGCATCGCCACTCGATTCATCTCGAATGCTCCCCTACAAACAATATAACATATCACCACAAAATAGTTACAAGCAGTTATCGCATGCCATGCACCATCAGTATAGAGTGTTCTAGGTTACTACAACCTGCCACTGAAACGTACCCCCACCCAGAACTACTAGCAGTGATGTTATAAAAGACTAGAAGAATACCCAAAGGCATGTTGCAGTAGCAATTGGACAAATAGTGAACAACATTGAGATTCCCTGAAATAATGACAGATTCTCCCTCCAGCCTGCTAGCTTCTCTTCTTCTTCCTAATTACACAATTACACTAAATACACATTTAATTACTACCTCTGCAAATAATCTGCCTACCTCACTCTCTCCCCACTCACCCATCTACTGCTCCCCACACCGACCAAGTCCTTCCACCAATATCCTTCCACCCTGCCCACCCTCCCCCTCAACCCCGGAGCTAGGATTTTACATACGCCTCCATTTGCGATTGGTTGCACCTTCACGGCTTCCTTCGTCTGTGCCCCCGCTGCGGCGCTCTGTCCTTCCTCCTCGCTGTCACTCTCTATGACCCGCCTCCTCTTCCTCACCGGCTCAACCGTCTTAACGGGAGAGACCTCCTCCTGCTTGACGTTTCCTTTCCGGATCGGAACATTCTTCCCGGAGGGGGACTTCGAATCTTCCGGAGATTCATTCTTCGGTTGGAGAGGGGACTTGCTGTGATTGAGGGATAAGCAAACGTTTCAACATTCACGTAACGATAAATATTCGAATTTGTAATAATGACTAAGCACAAAAGCAAATTATAGTCACACGAACTGAGAAATTCGATCAGTGCTGCCACTCAGGATATTACAAAAAAAGTATAAAATCTGTCCAGAAAAAAAAGTATCAAAATTGTCTAAAAAAGTATTAAAAAAGTATAAATTTGTATCAAAGTACCATGATTTGTAGTCACTTGTTACCTTTCACCTTGTTACCGAATACATTATAGCCTATGTGCAGCATACAAACAATCTTGGGGAATGATGTATGAAATGCCATGAGGAGTTGACACTCAGTCTGGAATATTTCAATGCAGTGTTTCCCCTGGCCAAAAAGGTCTGTGAGGTGTTGAACGTATTTGTGATGTGTTTGCGCGTTTCGAGGTCCTAGCAAAGCGAGCAGCGCAGGTGCTGGCTAAGCTAGGGGGGTCCGGGGGCATGCTCCCCCAAGAAATTTTTGAAAAAATGGTGCAATTTGGTGCATTCTTTAAAGCAATTCTGAACCCATTGTATGAGACTCTTGAATCTCTTTTTCAAGTTGTCAAAAGTTACGTCAGCGAGGCGGTGTTTTGGATAAATTTCTGTGTGGCGGCTGAGAATTTGAGTGAGGCAGCCCGCCTCGCTTGTGTCAAACTGTCAATGCAGGGGAAACACTGCAATGCGCATTGCTAATTTGACGTTTGGCCACTGATGGCAGAGAGCTGAGAGCAAAAACACTCCACTGAACAGAGCACACATCACTCCTGCAACAAGACTAGCAAAGCACATCTTTAATCTCATCAAATACAGTGTGTACCTAAATGTATGTCCGAAGAGTTTTGAACATCTTTGGCCAAAAAAGTATTTAAAAGTATTTATGCATGAAAAAAGTATGAAAAAAGTATAAAAAGTATATTTTCTTAAAAAAAAGTATAATACAATAAAAAAAAGTATAAAGTGGCAGCACTGTTCGATGTTATTCCATGAGATACATCCGTGGTGTATGCATGGTCACACTGTCCATACATACATGATCATGATGAATAATGAATGAACCGAATGCTGGAATCTGAAGCTATGACAATTCATAATAGAATGCCAGAGCTGTGTGATCCATGACTTTTTATCAATCAAATCTCCTACTACAACTATCACAGGTGATTCTACCTTGTTTTCCCTTTGTTATTGTCATCTTTCACAGCAGGCACTTCTGTAGTTGTCCCATTCTTAGCCACACTACTTGACGCCTGATTTTTTACCTTAGGCTTTGGTGGTGCAAAGAAAGACCTGTGCATAAGAGAAAATATGTAGCAGTGCCAGTGGCAGTGGTAGCGTATTCATTCAATTGATCAATTCCATGGCATGGGAATTTTTAACTAAAAGTAATTTTAGTTGCTTTGGAAAGCCTTTGGCTTTGTAACATGCCAACAAACTGCCTCATTCGGACAAATTTCTGATTAATTTGTCAGTGATTTCTCAATGTGAGTATGGTGAGCTGTGCATGCAGCACAGGACATGATGTACAGTACTGAGTTAGTACGTACAGCATCATATGAGCAACAAAGTAACGTACTGTACCGTACAGTGTACCCATAGAAATAATATGCTAAGGGTTAATGCTAAATTAGGGTGCGAAATTAACGGGAGTCCGGAGTCAAATACTCCCAGATTTACTGTCGGACTCCTTGATTTGACGTATGCAGGAGTCCGTGCGACTCCCTGAAAATTCTGCCATACCACCTAGTTGAAGTACTAGTTCGTTCCAGAGCACGGCCTCGTGGAAATACCGTATTTTTTCAGCTAATATCCAAAGAAAATTTGACAGACGTGCAACCGCATGATATTGATAATGATCATAAGCACATGCGTTATATTGTTAATATCTTTAATTTTGAACCTCAGACTGCGGACTCCCACATTTTGCTGCCGAGTGCGGACCTCCTCTTTTTTAGGGTAGGGAGTCCGTTGGACTCCCGTGTTCAAAAGTTAATTTCTACCCCTGATCTATATAATCTATATTATTTCTATGAGTGTACCAAACCGGCATAGATAGGCCCTATTATTATAGAATACAGTATATAGGCTAGCATAGGCTATATTCAGTATTCAGATCAGACCAAACACACTCCGATTTACTCAAGCAGTCTGTTAGCCCGACCAGGCTGTGCGACGGATTGTCTATACGGTATCCTAACCCTAGCGATACCGTTTCTTGGAGCTAGCAGTCTGTAGTCTCTCTGCACACTACCGTACAGTCTATGACATAGTGGTAGCGGTCCCGGCTTACGTGATAGATCTTTGTGCCATAATATTGGTGGTGAAAACGTGGAATCATATAATAACAACATAAATAAACATTAAGAAATGTCCACTTTCGCAGCAATCACAAACGAAACGATGACACTGTAGTGTACGCAGAAGTTCAACAAAATTTGGTTCCCGCGTAAACCTATACCCATAATGCTTTGCATGTAGTATTTTCAAAATAGTTTACTTTTCATTTTTTCGTTAGTTTAAAATGTTATGTTAAGAAGGGTATGGAGGTCAGAAATACCATTCCTTGTCGTTATATTACTTTTCACTGTTTTATTAGGCAAATAAGACTCTGTCAGCTGTTTAATGTTGAATGTTTACGATAGGGGGCTCTGAGATGCATTTGATCTGACTAAATTATCATGGCGTATTAAACTGGTATCAGTTTGGTATAAGTTTTGTGACAAGTTTAAAGGCTACTTCTGTCATGCGTTTTCGTATGGAATGAGCAACAAACCATCTCTCTATAGCAGACGACCGCAACACAACGATAAATACATCTCGGAAAGTAACGGAAGTGAAGGTACGACTGCCAGCGATTCGGAGGGTCCCAACCTGGACCGACCAAACACAAGTTCTGCTGCTGCTGGTCCTCCGACACAAAAACAATGTAGAAGTAAACCCGGCGACTCCTCCGGCTCTGATTCATCGAGCAGCAAGCAGGACTACAGGTCGTACCAGTCGAGTAGTAAGCATGATGACTGCAACGGAGTCGGAGGAGGGACACGCGACCACCGGGCCACCTCGGCCAGTAGAGATAGAGCGAGCGCGCAGCCGATGGGCCGCGGAACTCAGGGCGAAGCGCTGACCAGCCGCCATGGACGAGGTGCAGCCGGTGCATTCACATCTAGCCGCCCGAGAGAAACCTATTCGAGAGATATGAAAACCCCTATCGGAGGTACAATTCATCGATGCTCCTCGATCGAAATAATTTTAAAATGAGGAAACGGTTTACGATGCTGTCCTTGTTATTGACACATTCGCCTGAGCAGTGATAGCCACGATTTTCCAGTGTAAAGCGTGAATAAATTTTTCTTGATATTGTAGAGCGTGCTACATCACAAAATGCTGAGTAATGGGGGATAGACTGCTAGAGCCACGGACGCGTTGTGTGTCTGCTTGTTACGCATTGTTTTCCCTCGCCCCTCGATTCCGTCTACGTGGTAGCTTGGGGGACTGGAGAGTCAATTTCCCATCCTTCGTCCCCAATATTTAGTATCAGCATGTATTCAGTTGTACTTTGATATGTGACTGCATTTAGCTACGCTAATTTGTTTACTGATGTTCAGATTGAGCACAACAGTCGATAACACTCGTTACTTTAAAACATAAATTATATGTCGATTCTTTTATCTGTCACCTGTAGAGAAGAGCCAGCTGTACGGCGATGAGTCATCGCGTCTCTCCGTGCTGATGAAGCGGGTGATGAGGGAGGACGATCGCCGCTCCTCCATCGTCAAGCAGCTGCGCGAGTACATGCAGACCGCCAACCCCAAGGTGACCTTGAAGCTCCCGCATCGCCGCCGCTCTCTCGTCTCTGTAGTTACGTGCGCATTTGCATCGCCGCGTTGTTGCACTCACTCAGCTCTCTCTCTCCTCCCCTCTCTCATTCTCTCTCTCTGTCTCTCTCTGTCTCTCTCTCTCTCTGTCTGTCTCTTTCTCTCTCTCGCTATGTATATATATATATATATTGTTGAATTATGTTTCGCATATGATGAGGGTTATCCTGATCTGATGAGGGCTGTATTGTATGAAATTGGTTCATTTATCTTATGTTGGATAAGATTAGGTTTAGTCGGGCACACCTGGAATTCTTGTATCAGTTTGGAATATTCGTTAGTAAAAGTTATCTTCGTACTTTTAGGTGATCAGCAAGCAAGCGGACAACGTTTTGGAATCTTTGCAAGATCTTCTGCAGGAGAGGTTATTATCATCTGCCGCATCACACGTTTACAATCTGTGATAAAATCATGAAATGAAAGCAATATTTAACCATATTAAGGCCACGCTTCAACATAATCTGCTTCACGTGCTATTTGTCATAATGTCTAGCAAGTGATGACAGTAGTAGCCGGGCATGGCGGGTACCAACTCGCTCCACATTGGTGTGGTTTGCAATTTTCTGTTTTTTTGCAGGGGCTCTTCAGAGACGAAGCAGGAGCTAGCACGATGTGTGGGCATCACAGGGTCAGTGATGGGAGACGACCCTCAGAGGTATGTGTCTCAGGGTGTCGGCATATGGGGAGTCGGAGATGAGAAACGTACCTCAGCGGTATATGTCTTAGTGTCTCAGCCTTGGGGGGGTGAGGTGATCCATCGACGTATGTGGCTCCTCGTCTACGTATGGGCGCAGGTCAATTATGTGACGAAAGATGGGAGCCTGATTGCCCCGTGCCTGTGAGGTGTATGGTGTTAACAGAAATACGTAAGAACGACATGTATTGTAATATAATAGGAACCTGGTTGATATCAATCGTGTATTTCGAAGTAGTAATGAGAGTAAGTAATGAGTAATAAGTAATGAGAGTAAGTAATGAGTAATAAGTAATGAGAGTAAGTAATGAGTAATAAGTAATGAGAGTAATGAGAGTAAGTAATGAGTAAAAAGTAATGAGAGTAAGTAATAAGCGAGTAATGAAAGTGAAGTTGCTAATCTGATAGCAGGTGGGAGCATAATTGCCTCGTGCGTGAGGGGCATGGAGTGTTCGTATTACAGGTATCAGTTATTATTATTAATAATAATAACCATATTGTTATTTATTAATTAGTATTTTTGTTTCAAAGTAGGTTTCACAGTAGACCTAGGTTTGTACAGTTAAACCTCGATTATCCGAACGAGACCGGCGCGGAGTATTTTGTTCGGATAACCGATTGTTCGGATAACTGATCTGATCGCTGATAACTGATCCATTCACGGGACCTAGAGATCTTGTTCGGATAATCCGAAATTCAGATAATTGATGTTCGGATAACCGAGGTTTGACTGTATTATCTATTCGTGAGGTAAATAGTGAATCTCTTATGCAGAGCTGAGTTTTCTTGTCCTTCCCACAGGTATTTCAACAGTGTGTTTGGCCGGGTGAATGCAGCCAGCACATCTGACGATGTCAGGGTCCACCTACTGAAGGCCCTCATGGAGGTGAGTCATTGTGCGACTTCTTCTTACCCTTGCGTGACCTTTCAGAAGTGTATCCTCTTACCTCTGCTTACTGTGTTACATCCCTGTTCACAGATATACACTGTAACAGCAGCTTGCAATTTTAGCAAATTCGTCTAATATACTTTTGAAGAGAGCCAGTTTTGTGAATGCTGAGTTTTTAACTGTTTGAGTAGTAACTGTTTGATTTATTACATTTATATTGTTTGATTTTTCGGAATAATGAACTACTATCATAATTTTCGTTATTTCGTGGCTACAGACCGACAGATGGCACAACAGTCACCGCGTTGTAGCTCACACGACATAGGCTCGATTCTTATCAAGTTCACATATCTTAGGGGAATCAGCCACCATAAGCGAATGCTCCTGTGTTGTTTTTCTCAGACGCTCGCGATCACGAAGGAGCGTAAGGCGTACTTTTGGGGAATCAACCACTCACTATACGCGAATGCTCTTGTGTTGTTTTTTCTCAGACGCTTTCGATCACGAAGGAGCGTAAGGCGTACTTTTGGGGAATCAACCACTCACTATACGCGAATGCTCTTGTGTTGTTTTTTCTCAGACGCTTGCGATCACGAAGGAGCGTAAGGTGTACTTTTGGGGAATCAACCACTCACTATACGCGAATGCTCTTGTGTTGTTTTTTCTCAGACGCTTGCGATCACGAAGGAGCGTAAGGTGTA